AGCAGAACTGCTCACATGGTGAATAGGATTTGGACAGAGAGAGTGCCCCAGGGAAAGGGGATAGGAACAGCACAGTCCCCAGGCTCGTGGCCCTGTGGCCCTGTCCCGTTAACTAGGCCCCACCTTCTAATAGCCCAGTGGACTACAAGCTCATCAGTGGTTTGGGGTTAGGTTAGAGCACCCTTGGGATCTAATCGTTCCCCTAGATCCCCTCAGCTGGCCACTGGGGTCATTCTAGATCCAGAACACACCAGAGAGAAACCCAAGCTTAGGACACCCAACAGTTTATAATGGGGTACAAGCCAGCCTGCCTGACCTTTGCCACAAAAAGTAGCATTATTCTTCGAGCTGATGGGTAGATAATACTCTGAAGACACACTCAGTTCTCTGCTGTCCCCAGAAAGATCACAGAGAATAAAGAAAGGGGCAATGATGTGGTCTGCCGCAGTGGGGTGCAGGGGCTCACTGCCAGGTTGCAGGATGAGGAGAGGTGAGGACGGGAAGGCCAGAATCCTTCAGCAGGTCTACTCCCAGGGCAGCTAGTGACCCTGGTTCAGGTGAGAAGCTTCCCAGTATGTCCCTTTCTCTGTGCAGGAAAGAGCATTCTGAGCTGGCTTTGGGGTCCACCTCCGGAGTGTGGAGCAGGGACTGCCTCCACATGCAGAGACCCCAGCTTTGTGTCCTGTTCCTGGAGCACACAATTCCAAGGCACACCCAGGTGTGTGTGCTGGGGAGTCACTGCTGGGGAGCAAAGCCCCAGAGCTCTGCGGGGCTGACCTAGGATCAGGCAGGGCTTCCGCAGGCCACACGCATGGCAGCGTGCTAATCCCTGAAATTGGCTCTCCTGGTGTCTTCAGTTTGTGGCTGTGGTCCTTGCGGCCCTCCTAGGATCCTGCAGCTCTGGAACAAGAGCTGTGGCCTCCCCTTAAAGAAATCCTCTTGCTGCCAGGTGTAGCTGCGGGTGTCGGTCTGTGGCTGCACAGCGCAGTGGTGCCAGAGACATCACTGCGGATAGCAGTGTGGATTTGGGGTCTGGTGGTGAGGAGCGAGAGCTTGCAGTAAGGTCAGGCTGACCTTAGTGGCACGGGGTACACGGGGAGGCCTGCTCAAGGCTCCCAAGGCTGGAAGTCGAGGTCCTCAGTGCTCAGCACATCAGTCATCTGCCTTTTTCGCAAACAAGGACCTTAGCTTCTCAGCCTTAATTAATAACTCGTTAACGTGAAATGAATTACCATTCAAGGAGAGATGAAGCCCTCCAGCCCTTTGAGACAGAATAAGGCAATTTTATACATGGAGCCTCCTTTTGTGCTTCAGGTCTTTTTAGAAGCATTGAGGAGCCCCTGCTCAGTAACCCACAGGGTGGATATTGCTGGATGCTTGTGTAGGAAAACAGGACAGAGGGGCAGTATGAAGTGACCAAGTAGTGAATGAAAGTCACCCGGGAGCAGAAGCGAAACTGTGCCTTCAACTTTGTTGGGGTGTTATATAAGTGTTAGAAATGATGACCTCTCGTAATTTGTTTTGAAATCTATCATTAAAAATTCACTGAGTGTTGGACGGCTGTTGGCTTCTTGCCCATGGGTTTCCTCAGGGCAGAGCGATGCTGCTGTGCGGCCGAGGGCCCAGCCCGGGGCACGTTTGTGGCCAGAAGCGCGGCAGCCGCTACGCCAGTGTGCCCCCGCAGCTGGGAGTAGGGAGAGGAGCGCCCCGTGACAGTAGTGCATTTTCTGAGACTCAGAGGTGAAGGTGGCTGACTCACTGTTTTCAAGAACTAATAGGGCCACATCGGTCACACATTCCCATTTTCCAAGGGACGCTAGAAACGACAGATTTTTAGATGGAATCTCTCAGATTAAACAAAATTTCATCTGCGAACTCAAGCTGGACTCCAGGCCACAAGTGTATGTATCTGTCTTGAAATGTTCCTTGAATAATGCTGTTTCCTTAGGCAGGCTGTGATGTGGCCAAAATCGGGTCCTGCTGTTTCTGTATGTTCCCACAGCTGGGATGTGGGAGCAGGGGCTAGGGGGACCATCCCCAGCTCCAAAGGACCTGACCAGCTGACTTAGATTCTTCCAGCAAGGTGGCAGGAGTGTGTGGTCCTGCTGGGAGGCTCCCTGCCCCTCCCCCCAGGTGTCTGAGCCACGGCCAGAGCTGCGTCACCACCGACCTTGTATGTCCCAGGGCTTGTGCTTCAATTTTACCTCTCAGACTGTGAGGATTTTGCAGACCTGTGGGCATTAGTGTGCGCCCCGTAAGGACCTCGTCCCTCGTGTCTCAGCAGCATGATGTCTTGTTTCCAACCGAGACCTTGGACACATTCAATGAGGTCTGTCCCAGATCCCTACCTTCTGTGCGTTTCCTGTCTCGAGTTCAGATCAGCTTGCTGTCCTTGGTACATGCTGGTCCTTCTTTCTGGAGTTGGTCTCCATAGTTACTAACAGAGGCGCTCTACCCTTTCTTCCACTCATCAAGGTAGAAGTTGGAGGCTGCTGGGCTGGGTGAGCTGGGCTGCTGCCGTGGGAGGACTGCGCGAGGGAGACGGCACAGGTGGGCACTGTGTCCTGTGCCCAGCGCGGTCTGGAAGGGGTGCACACAGCCAGGCGGAGGACGTCTTGGGGAGCTAGGGCAGGAGGATCATGAATTAGAGGCCAGCCTGGGCAACTTAGCGTTGCATCCCCAAGACCTTGGGGATGTTGACCTCTCGGGTCCAGGTGGGCTCCACAGTGAAGAAGGCACCTCCGCCTGACCTTTTACCTACATGGCACATGTCTCTGCAGGCAGGAGCAGCATGTGCCACTGGGGTCGCCCTGCTCGTGTGTGGCTTCTCACCACTCTTTCATTCTTTTTCCGTCTTTCCCTTTCCCTTGAAGCCCCTATAAATATTAGCAGTGCCCTGCACCCTCTGTCTGCTGGGAAGTCATGGGGTGGTAGAGAGCCACACCACCTGGTACCCGAGCATGGCCCTGATGGAGAGGTCTGTGCCACTGCCATTCCATGGGGGAGAGAAGCACAGGGCACAAGGTGGGCACCAGGGCTGACAGGAGCGGGCCGGCAGGGAGGTGCACAACCAGCCCTAGGGGACCCAGGGCAAGAGGCCGTGGTAGACCCCCGAGTTCATGTCTCCCTGCCCTGCTACCCACTGGCTGAGCCTGAAGGAGGCCAGCCAGATGATGCTGGAGCCCCTGGATGCAGCTGCTGTGGTGCCCCCGGGTGGGGAGCAGCCCGAGGGGTGCAGTGCAAAGGAGAGAGTATAACACCCCTGCAGGCTCAAGCCCCAAGCCCCTCCTCGGAATGCAGCCGCCATGAGCACAGATCAGAGCAACTCGCTATACCCAGAGGGCAGCTCCGAGGGCTCAGTGGTAGCAGCCAGGGGTACAGGAGCTGCTTGCTTGTAGTGCTCTCTCGGGAGCTCCAGAGGGCACTCTGGATGGTGGTGTGTGAAGAGGGTGGGGCCAGACTGAGCCTCGACTGCAGCCCCGGACTCTGCCCTCCCGGCTTCTCTGCAGACTGCTAGCGGGCTGCAGGGGCACAAGGTCCAGTCTGGTGGGAGTTGTTGTTGCCTCCTAGTCACCACCCAAGCTCAGCAACAGGCCTGCTCAAGCAGCAGTGTGCACCTGGATCCTGGGGTGGCTCAGGAAGCCGGTGCCGGGAGACCCCGGGCGCTGGGGATCCCGCACATTCCCAGGCAGCATCACTGCCTTGTGAGCAGGAAGGCCTGTGGCCTGCACGCCTCCCCTCTGGCCTTGTTCTGGAGTCAGGCAGACCCTCCAATGACCAACTCCTGCAGCACTCAATGCGTATATCCAATCCCCACAATGGCATCAAAGGTTATCTTTGTTTTCCAAGGTAGAGAAATACGTTTTTAGTATGGAAACCCTGTATCTTCATTAATCGCAGGATGGTGCCACAGTCTGCTGTGTTGACAACTGTGACTTCCAGGGTGCTGGGACCTGTGGAGGGGCCCTGGCTGCTCACCTGGGCCTCTGGCATGCTCCTGAAGTTGCATATTCTCCCAAGCCCAGGCCCCATGTCTTCTGAATCAAAATCAGCCTGATCGTGAGACCTCTATTTTTACAGAGCTCCACAGGAAAGTCTGGTAATTGGCCAGATTTAGGTGCCGCTAATGGGCTATGCATTTAAACTTGGTACTGTGAAAACCTTCCATTGGAAAAATTTACAACTTAATTGGTTCTGAGCTAAAACAGTTGGAGGAAAGAGTGAGTGTGTAAGTGTGTGTGTGTCCATCCGTCCAAGCCCTAATATCTCTGAACTCTTGCACTAGATCCAAGACTGATTCCCAAGCAGCAGGTGTGATTGGCTTGGCTTTTAAAGAAAGCTCATTATATTTGGGGTCTAAAGTTAGTGTGACCAAGTATTAATTCTGGTCCCTGTTGAACCAGGGATCCACATCATCAGGTGTACAATAGAATCATTTTCATCACAGTGTGCGCTAGGAACAAGGTTGTTTTCCTTCCATTCAGTCTCTGCAATGTGCAGAGTGAGCATCTCTGGTCAGTCTGCACCTCCACAGGCTGCCTCTGGGGACTGTGGCATGTGGCACGGTGAATGCCACCACCCTCTGGCCCAGAGAGCCGACTCCCATGGGTGAGCTGTGCCATCCCATGGGTGGGCTGGCACATCGGGGCTCCCAGGCGTGCCCTGCCCTGTGCTGACCCTCTGCCAGGGACTGGCTGAGCCTCTTGTCTTTAGAGGCGGAGACAGGGTCCTGTGTCTCTGGGATTGCTTTGCACACGACCATCCAGGCTCGTGGGCACCTCTCAGTTAAGCACCGCCACAGTTGGCATCACCGCTCTGCTGGTCTCGGTCGTGTGCTGACCACGTGCCTTGTGATGTATCGTTTGCTACACAGGCAGGACCACAGGGGCTTCCAGTGACCACCACGCCTCGTGCCATCCTGAGGCCCCGTAGACTTGACTCGCGCTGGCTTCTGTACTCTGCAGCTCGCCGTGGTGTTCACCCGACTTGTTTATTCCTAGGGAATGTCACTAGTGCGTCTGGGTCTCAGATGGCAAGCGGCGTCAGCCTGGTGTCCTTCAACAGCCGACCGGATGGCATGCACCAGCGCTCCTACTCAGTCTCCAGTGCCGACCAGTGGAGCGAGGCTACGGTCATTGCAAACTCGGCCATCAGCAGTGGTAAGAGGGGGCGCAGCCCCACAGACCGCGGCCGCCTCCAGGTCCTCTGTGTAGCTCGGGGCCGGGCGTGGGGCCGGAGCTGCCCAGGCCCTGTGGAGGATGCCTTGGCAGTGGTGCACGTCTCACCTGTCACCTGTGGAGCATTTTGTCCCTGATAAGCTGCCTCGCCCTCTCTCATCTGCTCCTTTCTGGTCAGGGAGCAGACACTTATCCCCAGTGGACAGATGGGAAGCCAGGGTTCCAGGCGTGCTTGGCCACATGACAGTGGGGCCAAGGAGTAGCATCAGCCATTGAGTGTCGCTGCCCTACACGTGTGAACCGCAGGCCACCGCTCATGTGCATTTTGAGTCACAAGGGCTAACTCCTTCTGCTCGTCAGGCTTCTGGGGCTCCTAGCACACCCTCAGAATTCTGGGGCATCCTGATGTCTTCAGTCCCTTGTTCCTGCACATCTTCCACATTTGAACAAGTGGCTCCTGTGTTTCGGGTGACAGAGCTGTACACTGGAAACGGCCTTGACGCATGCGTGCAAGCATGAGTTATGCAGCGCGGAGGGCATGCCGCCTGCCTGCAGCCTGCATTGCCGGTGGCGTTTTGTCTATGGCTTGTTCACCGGTATTTAAAGGAATTCCCACTGTTGTATGTAATCTATCAGACAGGGCTTTAGAGCAATTTTAGTATAATTTGTTCTAATTAAAAGATTGAGCATCAGGTCCTCCCTGTAGACCCACCAGCTGCTGCGGCAGGACTTCAGCTTTGGTAAACATCGTCCCCATTTCTAGCTGCTCCTCAGTGATCCCAAGCTGTGACCACATGCGGACCTCAGGGGACAGCGCAGAAGAGGCCAGGAAGGAGAAGTGGAGTCCTTCATGGGACCCAGGGGGCGCTGTGCAGGCAGCGCTAAGCTGGAGGCCAGGTGTGCAGGGCAGAGTGCTGCCGCTGGCACTGGGCCGACTTCCCCTCCTGCTGGGAGCTGTGTGCAGCTGCCCGAGTGGGCACCGCCCTGCCGCCCTGCAGAACCTCCTCTCTCAGGCGCCTGCGTCGCCGGGACCCGCTTTCCACAGGCGCTGCTCACACTGACGTGCACACACATTTATGGAGCACTGAAGTCATCTCAGTATGAAGGCTGCCTTCAGGTTTTCCAAGCTGAGTGTGACCCCACATGGCACCCACAGGCTCCTTGGCCTTATGGAACTAGAGCTACAAACAGAAAACCAGAAACCCAGGCCACTGCCTACCCCAGCATCCGCCTGCTGAGGGGTGAGCAGGAAAGAGCCCAGCCCAGGTCCAGTCATTTGAGGATCTCTAGTTCATCAAGATCATCCCAAAGAGGATCTCCCTTGAGTGGTAAAGCAGCAGGTGAATTTGTTTTCTAGGCAAAATAGGAGAAAGGTGCTGGGCATGATGACACATGCCTGCAATCCCAGCTCCGGGGGGGCTGAGGCAGGAGGATCACCAGGAGGTCCAGGCCAGCCTGGGCACCTAGAGAGTTCAAAGCCAGTCTGCACTACGGAGCAAGACCCTGGCTCAAACAAAACAGAATCAGCAAGCAGAAGTCATTCTAAGCACTGGGGCAACCTGGACAGATACAGAGGGGGAAAGAGAACATCTTTGGATTTCACAGGCAGCTGAGGAGCTTCCATGAGGTGAAAGTCATCAATCAGGTGCAGCCGGAAGGAAGCGGGGCGGGGGCTGGAGGCCAGAGTCACCGGCTTCACCTTCATCATGTTTCAGAATGCTGCAGAGATCAAGGATCCAGAAGGACGGAAGAGGGGGCACCCAGGAGGCCGTTTCCTCTACTTTTCATGGGGGTCTTCCTGGTGCCTGTATGTTCTAAAGCTTGATAGTGTGGCCTCCCCAGTGTATTTCTGAAAGGGCAAAAGTGATGGTAGGCGCTGACACTGGTGGAGGCTCGTGTGGACTTTTATCCCATTTCTTCTCACAGAGAAGTTCTTGTCATCTTTCCAGTAGGGAGGCCACTACAGCAGGCATGGATGTCCCTTGCAGGCGGAGCAGCCAGTCAGAGCCAAGACTTGAACTCAGGCCACAGCTTTTCCCTCTCATCCGCTGCCCCTGGGAGCTGTTTACAGCCCCACCTTCTCAGGCTGGTTCCAGCCCATTGGATCCAGCGAGTGTGAACCTGAGTATCCACTGCCTGTGCCAGGGGCCCGTGTTAGTTGCATGCCAACGTTGAGAGCCACTGCTCTAAAATCTGGCCTCCCAAAATGTGCTCCACAGACCAGGTGTCTGGCCTCTCCTGGGACTTTGTTGAAATGGAGCTGCCCGGGCTGTACCTGCCACACCCACTGGCCACATCCCTGTGTCCTACCTTTAAGGTGCTTGCTTGTCAGTGACCCACCCCCAACCATTTTTAATGGCTGCGTTGTTGTAGGGTCTGATGGAGAACACCAGTAAAGCATATTTACACACGGGTTTCTTTTTTTGCGATACTGGAGATCGAACTTGGGACTTCGTACTTCTTGGGCAGGCATTCATGCACTGAGCTGTCTCCCCTGCCTGCTGCATGGGGATTTGAAGACTTCACCTTGACAATACACGTGCCCTGCAGTGCTTGACACCCAGGAAGCAAACAGGACTGGCAGCTTTCTCCCATACAAGGTGCAGCTGACTGAAGCCTCCCTGCTGCCCCTCCCACCCTTGTCCATCTTTGGATTTCACAGGCAGAAGGAGCTCTATCAGCTAGCAGGTGGGGGGAGGCTACCAGCTCTGGCGCCTTCGTGTCCCTACACTGCGGAGCGCACCTGCCATTGTCATCCGGCTTCTTATAAGGCCAGTACTAACGGCAGCTTTATGATTCTGATTCTCTCAGTCCCCACTGCCACCCTAAAGTGAGACCTGGGCTCCAGAATACTTTTCTTTCACCCCCCCACCCAAGTACCCCCCGGGGCACTGGCCTTCCAGCAGCTGGGGGCGACTCCTAATTAGATAGATGACTTTGTAGTGAGCGCTCGCCCAGGACACAGGGGGGCGCTGGCTAAATTAAGAGAAGGAAAGACAAATCCATTCTGTGAAATGGAATGCCCCACTGCTTTATGACTATTACTGTTGTAAGGTTTCACATTTAAGTACCTGAGGTTTAAAATTAAATGTCTAATATAATTTGGCGTCGCTAACATGAGCCCCGCATCTGCCCTTAGAGGGAACCCGGCAGCTCCGTTCGGGGTTTCAAATTGCTGCCTGTGCTTGCGAGCAGTGCGGAGGGCTGGATCCCCCTCACGCTAAGTGCCACATGCTGCTCGGCGTAATTTTTTAAATGCAGAACATATTCATCTTGCGCTTCTACTGCATTGAAAAGGGCCGCTCCGGTAGTACATGAAAAATTAATTTTTTTACATTTTTTCTCACTCTCCTAAGTGTTTGACAGAAGTAATTTTTGCAGCAAGAGAGAATAAAAACTGGTGGCTGTAAATTCCTGTCCTGGACCCTCTTGTGTAGATTCTTTATGGACCCAGAATTGATCTACATGTCAGATCCTGTTGTGGTTTAAACTGTTTATCACCGTAATGGCAGCAGGGAGCCCGGGAACACCAACTTATAATCCTGGGTGAAAGAAATTGGTGTTTGCAGTCAATGAAGGGGCAGCTTAACTTTATTGATAGATTCAGAACAATTATCTCTGCAACAACTATTGGCTGAGGGTTTTCTTGAATCTTATTGGAAGCCTATAATTTTTTTTCCTGGTTAATCATTTTCTGTACAGGTCATTTTCTCTAGACGTGGTAGCCAAGCGGTAACTGTCCTGGGGGGAGCAGGACCCCCGGGGGGCGTTTGCAGCACACTAGGTCGTCATAGTGAACGTCGGGCCAGCCGGCATTTTAGATGCATCGCGCCCTCGCTGGGGGCCGGAGCCGATGCCGCAGAGCCCGGCCTGTGTCTGCCCAACTTGCTGAGGGTCTGAGGGGTCAGGCTGCTGCCCCACCCTCCGCAGATGCCAGCCTTGGCTGATGGCCTGAGCGGCCCGTGGTTGCCGTGGCAGCCACACTTCCCTACCTCTCAGCTGTCAGGTTGCTCCGATTGCTCCACCCCGGCTCCGATTGCTTCAGTCCAGCAGTTTATCTTCCGCCTCGCCTCTGGCCGTCACTTGCGATTGCATTTCTTGGTGTGATTCTTCAGCCTTGCTCCCTGCTGCCCCCACGGGGCCACCTGCCACTTCGTCCGCGGGTCTGCACGTGTGTGTGTGTGCTCCTGTAGGTATACTTTAGGTAGCTCCTTGCCTGTATATCTTCATGCCGCACTCTGATTATTAGACAGCAGGTCTGAAAGGAAAGCCTGTGGCTTCTTGATGACTCTCAGATGTTCCTTCCCACGATGGAAATGATTTGCATGGCTACTGTAACAATGGGACTAAGGAAACCCAGGTCCCGGCTTTGCTGGCAGTTTCTCTTCCCTTCCCGTAGAGAAGACCCAAGAAAGGCCAGCAGCCCCGCCTTTGAGACCTGGGGTACAGCAGGCACACCAAAGCCGTGGCGTCTGAGGACACCGACTGCCCACTCGTCGATTTTGATTTGTGTAGTTGGAACGTGTTTTCCTCTCTGGAGGGTATGTTGGCAATTTTAGCACCTGACCAGCAGGTGGTGATGGTGCAGCTGTACCAGTCTTGCACAGGGTGCTTAGTTTGCAGGCCCGCTTCAATGGGAGGGAGGTGACATCTGTGACATTGCCTTCGCACACCATCTAGCACTCATTCCCTGGGAATCATTATCCCCGTCTGTTACATTTTCCCAAAGTCTAGGAAACTAGGACCACACTCTTCGTAATTTGCCCAAATTCAGACCCAGGGCTTTCTGCTTCCAGCTGAGACAGTTTTCCCTCAGCTCTCGTTAGTGCAGGAGAAAGGAATGCTGAGAGCCGAAGCCCAGCACCACGAGAATGATTTGCCTTTCCATAAGACTTGTCTTGTCTTTCGGGGGTACACAGCGCCCCACAGAGAAGCTTTCTTCTCGCAGATCCTGAAGTTCCCTTCATCAGTTTCTCCCCTCC